TTAGTCCGGGAGTTAGAAGGTGATAGCTCTATTGCAGATCTAGCAACCCATTTCAGAATGTTTGGAGAGTCACGCCCATTCCGAGGTTACTTTCATTCACAATAAGCCCTGAATGTATGCATCACCGTTATCAAATGGATATTGGTTGTATATAAACACTTAAATATTTTCGCCGAGATTCAAACAGCCTGCAATTTATTTTGCTGTGATTCAGTAAAACAATTGCCGAGCCTCAGCAAACAAATACGATTTTGCTGAGATTTCAGCTAACAAACAGATATTTTTCAGAGATATCAGCAAAAGTAAATGCTGAGGCAATCGGCTGTTGGCTGTTGTTAATTGCTTCTTTTGGAATCCCTTGGACTTTTTCGCTAACGCTTCGTATTTCATTCCGTGCTTCACCGGCAATTTCCTTCCGTAGATCGTCCTTGGTTGGTTCTAACATGATTCCGCCTTTTCCGGGTTTTTGTTGTTTTCCGAGGGAGATAATTCCGCACTAAATTCCGTTCCTGGTTCGATGTTGACTCCTTCCTCGCTGGTTGGTGTGGTCGGTTTCATGTCCACCATCTGTCACTGAATTGCCATGGGGATCTAGGACGAGGCTCACGTCCAAAGTCGCTGGTCCACCGAGCGCTCCATGTGCGAAAAGAGAATGAAAGAAATACGAAAGGTATCAGTTTCAAGAAGTGACAGTTTCATCAGATTACCCAACTAATCATAGGGGGTTTGATCTAATTTCCGTCCTACTAAGCACAACCCTCGCTTTACCTCTCGTTTTTGAACGAGTTTGAACAAAAAATGGAACATTTCTGTCGAAGATGACTACCTACTAAATGTATTCACCTTTCCATACGTACCGTTGGATTTGATAAATAGTCACAAATTGTTGAGATATTGTTTAAAATCTAATACTGCTTCTTGATTCTAAATTCGTCCTACGAGTTTCAATTCCGTCCTAACGCATTGAAACGCCATTAAATTTTCTTCGTCCTACAAATAAACGTAGAAAAGGGATTCGCTAGGAGCGCTTCTTTTGTTTTGAGAACAATGAGCGTAAATATTCATACATTGCGCTCTAATAGGATTTATGTTGTAGCAAATGAACAAACACATCGGAACAAACCTATTATTAATTGGTGCACGGTGAAATCATTGATATTACTGATCTTTTTTTTCCCGATAGAACGGAAATGGGCGATTTCGACGAAGTACCGCTCTACCCTACTCAAGCAAAGTAAGAATATACAAGCTATATTGCGACCACAGACAAACAGATATAACACATTAAATATTTCTCACTGTAAAACATCGTCGCTAAAACATTACCGCCATCTGTTGAGTACACTATGGTCGGTAGTACGCAGAACAGATGGCGGTAGTGTGTAAACGTCAAACGCAAGGGAATTGAATATGCGCGCCACAGGTGATGGTATTACCAACTACGATATTTTTAAATTTACCGTTAAATGCTTGTTCGATGAACAATTTGCGAGTGTTATGTCTGTTTGTCTGTGTTGCGACTATATGGTTACTTGGGTACTCATATGGTTGTCAGGATGGTTCATCGGTTGCGAAGTGAAGTATTTGTGAAAGTGATGCGTTATATTTCTCAATGTTTTGATTTTATCCTAAACGTTACCTCAATGTTATATCACAGACAAGCAGACACAACACATTGAACATTTATCATTGTAAACCCTACCGCCATTTGTCGTATACACTATGATGGGCAATACACTCAAACGCTAGGGAATTGATTATGTGCAACACAAGTGGCGGTACTACCAACAATCAATACGAAACTAACGATTTTAAATTGGCTCACTACTTGACTAGCCTATTGGTCCCAAGCAAATTAATTAACGTATCCCATTCTAGTATAAATTCCAGTACTACACTATGTTTTTTTTTGATTTGCTATGAAAGTTTGACAGATAACATGAGGGGTTCGTGGAATCCTATGTTTCGAGGGGTGCATCGATTAGCTTGGGACAGAAGATAGTACCAGAGCTGAGCCAAAAAGTTGAACTGGTTTCTTCGGAACCTTCTGGTCTTAGAGTATCCTCTATGGTACTACCAACTAAAAAACATTTAAATTGACCGTTAAAAGCGATTTCGATGAACGTTTTAAGAGTGTTATGTCTGCTTGTCTGTAATCATACCTTCACTATCGCAACTTCGGGTAATCTGCGAAAATACTTCCGGAGTGATTTGAGATTTGGGCGTAATTGCATTTGTAAACAAACACGTCAATCCCTGATTTTGCACGAATAAAAGCTCAATCTCGAAAACGAATAACACTATCAGGTAGAGGAATGATTCCTCTATCATTTGGTACAGTTTGTTTACTAGATTGAACTTTTGGCGATTTACGTGTTTGTTTACAAAAGCAATTACGCATACATCATACATCAATCAGGCTAAGGCCTTGTTGTCCTCTGCTGTCCGAAGAAGTCGTCTCCACTCTACTCGATCCATGGCCACAGTTCGCCAGCCTCGTAGTCTGCGAAGGGTCCGCAGGTCACCTTCTACTTGGTCGATCCACCTTGCCCGCTGCGCGCCTCTTCTTCTTGTTCCTGTTGGGTCGCTTTCTAGAACCATTTTCACTGGGTCGTCGTGCGGCATTCTTACGACGTGCCCAGCCCACCGTAGTCGCCCAATTTTTGCAATGTGGACGATGGATGGTTCTCCCAGCAGCTGGTGCAATTCGTGGTTCATTCGCCTCCTCCACGTTCCGTCATCCATCTGCACTCCACCGTAGATGGTACGCAACACCTTCCGTTCGAAAACACCAAGGGCGCGTTGGTCCTCCACGAGCATAGTCCAGGTCTCGTGGCCGTAAAGGACCACCGGTCTAATCAGCGTCTTGTAGACAGTCAACTTCGTGCGGCGGCGAATTTTATTCGACCGGAGCGTCCTCCGGAGTCCAAAGTAGGCACGATTCCCTGCCATAATGCGTCTTTGAATTTCTCTGCTGGTATCATTTTCGGCGGTCACCACCCTAATAAAAATTGTATGTTTAATTTGCTTAACGACGTGTTCTGGGTATCATCCAAACCATTTGTGGAATAGTTCAATGATTTGGGTTATCGTTCGTTTATGGTTATTTTTTTATTAGGGCAGTGAGCCCAAATACACGAACTCATCGACCACCTCGATTTCGTCACCGTCAATCTGAACTCGGGGTGGGAGGCTAACATTGTCTTCCCTAGAACCTCTTGCTTTCATGTATTTTGTCTTTGATGCGTTGATGGCAAGTCCAATCCGTCTAGCTTCAGCCTTCAGTCTGATGTACGTTTCCGCCATCATCTCAAAGTTCCGTGCCATAATGTCAATGTCATCGGCGAAACCAAGGAGCTGGATGGACTTCCTGAATATCGTGCCACTCGTGTCTATCCCAGCTCTTCTGATCACACCTTCTAACGCGACAGCAGACACGAAAGTCCATCACCCTGCCGTAACCCCCTTCGAGATTCAAAGGGACTCGAGAGTGTCCCCGATACTCGAACAACGCACATCACTCGATCCATCGTCGCCTTGACCAACCGGTCAAGTTTATCCGGAAATCCGTACTCGTGCATAATCTGCCATAGCTGATCTCGATCGATTGTGTCGTATGCGGATTTGAAATCGATGAACAAATGATGTGTGGGCACGTTGTATTCGCGGCATTTCTGCAGAACCTGCCGAATCGCGAAAATTTGGTCCGTGGTAGCGCGGGCACCCATGAATCCCGCCTGGTATTGCCCCACGAACTCTCTTGCATAAGGTGACAGACGGCGGCATAGAATTTGGGAGAGTACCTTGTAGGCGGCGCTCAGCAGTGTGATCGCGCGGTAGTTGCAGCAATCCAACTGGTCGCCCTTTTTGTAGATTGGGCATACGACACCTTCCATCCACTCCTCCGGTAATATCTCCTCCTCCCAAATCTTGGCAATTACCCAGTGCAGCGCTCTAGCCAGTGCTTCACCACCGTATTTCAATAGCTCACTTGGTAGTTGATCTACACCAGTTGCTTTGTTGTTCTTCAGCCGACCGATCTCCTCCTCAACTTCTTGAAGATCAGGGGCCGGTAGCCTGTCGTCTTCTGCGCGTGCTCCAAGGTCTGTTGCCGTGCCACCTTCGTTTTCTGCTGCTTCACCGTTGAGGTGCTCGTCATAGTACTGCTTCCACCTCTCAATCACCTCACACTCGTTCGTGAGAAGGTTACCGTCCAAGTCCTTGCACATATCGGCTTGCGGCACGTAGCCTTTGTGCGAACTATTTAGCTTCTTGTAGAACTTCCGTGTGTCGTTTACGCGGTAAAGCAATTACGCCCAAATCCCAAATCACTCCGGACTTGCCTTTTTCCCAGGCACTTTTGATCTAACTGCAATTACTCTCTCATACTCGAAATGTGCCACGACCAAATTGGCACAACGACGCACTATACGCTCTCTGGCCGAAGCGCAGGGGTTTAAGAAGTTTTTGAATGTCCCTTATATACTCTACGTAATTTGCGACATTTCTGGTCGGGAATGAGATTGTAACTCATGACCTGATTGAAAGATATGGATTATCTAAAAAAAAGGTCAGAATGACCCTAAAAACAGATCTAGACTCGCCAAAATTGCTTATAAACACAAATACTTTAAAACACAAAAAAAAGCACAACAACGCTGTATTGGCACGTGAAAACGTAATTTTCGAAGCCATTCGAAACACCTGTTAAATTAGGTTACCCCATCCCAACAATGTTTTGTATTTAGATAAACTTTGCCTGCCATTTTTTAAACGTAAGGCCAAGTTGTTTGAATTCCGTGGTAAGTTTCTGACCCCCACGGTACCCTTATTAGCTATGATAAGCTGAATGTAATAAACCAAAAAGCTAATGTACATCTTTATAGGTGACTTATTCATGATTATTATTTTTGTAACTAGACAATACCTTCCATATTTGTGTGCTTTTTTTTTCAAACTCATAATTCCCACTCTCTTCGCTATATATCTATCCATTACAGGTCAGTTGCTGACACATCGTAACGAGGCATGCAGTGGTACTACAAGCTGCTCGCTCGTCGGCCACATTTCGTAGTGGTTTCAGTCGGTGTCTTTTCGATCGCCTGTATAGTGGTGGCTCTGATCACTAAGAAGCTGCCGGATTTTGACGATCCGACGTTGGGTTTCGAAGCCAGGGGGACCTCGATCGGTAAACGGTGGACTGCGTGGCGGAATTTGCTCGAGGAAACCAGTGCCTCCGGCCGGTTGATTGCCAATCCGAAAGAGCTGTACGATCGCACGGTAACGGATTTTGGGTCCGGATTTCGCGCTCACAAGCGCAAGAAAGATCGCAAGAAGGCCAATGGTAACGCGAAAAAGCGTAATAAGCTGAACAAAAATATCAGAGTTTTGAAAGAGCTTGCGCTAAACAAGTCTTCGAATGGTGAAGTGATAAGTTTCGAAGAGTACGACAATGATACGTTCAGCAGTAGACACGATAACTGGGAGTACGGCCGGAATATGTCGTTCTACCCGGAGGAAACCGGCAACAAGACGATGGAGAAGAAACGTGCCAAGTGGGACACGTTGAGAAATTTGAAACCCCCACCGGATCCGATCGAAATGCACATTCCGGCCGATGGCTTCTTCTGTGAATCGCCGAGTAAGTATTTTTTGTTTGGCTACTCGTGTTGTTCATAACCGTTGTTTTCCCCATCAGATAAAGAATTTGCTCACTTTGTGGTACAACGTGTCAACTATAACTTGAATGACACCTTGTTCGAGCTGAATGCGTTCCTGGCAATGTGTGATCTGGAGCAGCGTATTATCCGCACCGACCATTACGCTGATATGTGCCAAAAAGAACTGACCAGCGACAATTGCTGCCGGCCGTGGTCGGTCGTAAACTATGTTACGTTCCTGTCGAACAAAACTTCCTGCTTCGAGCTGGACGAAGAAGACATAGCCATGGTGAAAACGTTGCTCTTTGACTGTTTTCAGTATTATCACAACATGAAGCTCAGCAATGACTGCGTTCGATCCAGCTGTGTCGTTCCCAACGAGTGCAAGCAGCACAATGCAGTTTACAACATATTGCATTATTTGGCAGACGTAGATTTTATTAAATTGAATGTAAGTACATTTGCTGAGATTTATATGATGTTGCAGTATATCTTCATGAGTTCCGCATAATTTTTCTTCCACAGGAATCAGCCGAGTTTCTTAACGCGACCATGATTTTCCTTCCAATAGCCAGAAGCACAAAATCGTTGGAGCTCTACCACAGCCTTCAGCAAGAGTAAGTACCATTTGCGGTTTTATATTTTTTGATGATCGTTTGTACTATTTGTTGCTTGGTTGGCCGCTGCTTGAATTAAAGAGGATAGTTCCTCCCACGTCCGGTGAGCAGCCTGCAATTTTAAAGTGAATTTATTAGTATTTTGTTGTATAATGTTGAACTATTTCTCATTGAACATCACTCCAGTTTTATAAGGTACAATGGGTTTAACTCATTTTAACAGAAATTTCTAGGGTCAAATCCGCCTGAAGATTAAAACAACAACATGTCACTTTTCCGGAGTGATTTGAGATTTGGGCATAATTGCTTTTGTAAACAAACACGTCAACTGCTGATTTCTTGTGAATAGAAGCTCAATCCCATAAACAAACTATACCAAATGATAGAGGAATCATTCATCTACCTCATAGTGTGATTAGTTTTCGAGATTGAGCTTTTATTCGCGAGAAATCGGCGATTGACGTGTTTGTTTACAAATGCAATTACGCCCAAATCTTAAATCACGGTTTTAGCAACCTGCATTTGGTATACATTTATTTGAGAAAGAGTATGTTTGCTGGTAGCAGCTGAAGACATTTACACAAATAGCTACAAGTTTTAAACAGTTTCAAAAAAGAAGGTCCCGCGGTATATTTCAGCACCCGGGACAAGGTGAGATCTATCAAAACATAGTTATGAAGTAATGAAATTCGGTTGTTGACGGAATGTTTAAATAAAACAGCAAAAAAGGCTATCTTGCATTTAGTTTTTGAAATAAATGTTATCGAACTTGTTATGTAAAGGGACCAGTCAATAACATTTGAAGAACATGGTGAAGAAAAAAGCAGAAAAATAATGCTCACGCACCATAAAGCTGGGTTTAGACTAGGCAAGTCAAATGGTCAACTCAGTTGAATTCAATTGGCTTGAAAAGTTGAGCCTGGTTCAACTTTTTTCAATTCAAGTGAGTTGATCAAGTCAGTTGAATGGCACGGTTTACACGTTCAATTCGCATTCAAGTCAGTTGAATTCAACTGACTTGATCAATTGACTTGCCCTGTCTAAACCAAGCTTAAGGGTGTACAATGAGAAAAATATCAATAAATTTACTATGATTTTTCAAATATTTACATAGGAATTGCACTTCGTAATTTCACTTGCCGTTTTCTCAATCTTGAAATAAAAAACACACGATCTGTACTGTTTCTCAACTCTATACAAAGCTGGAAAAAGGGCCTATCTGCTTTGATCGATTCCCTTCATCGACTTTCTCTTTTAATGACCACGGCTATGCAAAATGTTTTCGTGCTATTTTGGCCACATAGCATGATAAAGGAGGTTATCGTCCAAATCGTCAAATACAACAGGGAATGTTGTTACAGCTGAGTTATTAACGAAAGAGAAAGTCAATGAAGAGAATCGATCAAAGCAGATTGCCCCTTTTTCCAGCTCTGTATAGAACTAATAAAATCAACAGTGAGCATACATAAGGGCGTAAACGCGATGATCGATTCTCTTCGTCGATTTTCTCTTTTGTTAATAACTCGCTATAATTAACGTTTCTCGGTTCGTTTGCTTTTGAATAGCCAATACAACATGTTACAAGTCTGCATTGCACAAATTCTAGAAAATTGTTTCGTTTAGATGTAGCAATACAAAGAGAAAATCGATATACACGCTAACTTGAAAGTACCCATTAATGGTTGAAAAAGACCCATTTTGAAGAAAAGTGGCTTAACTCATTAAATGAGTAATTTTTTTACCCATTAATGAGTATCTGTTACCCATTAATGAGTAATTGTTTATCATTAATGGGTAACAGATACTCATTAATGGGTAAAATTGTTTAATCATTAATGAGTTAAGCCACTTTTCTTCAAAATGGGTCTTTTTTACTCATTAATGAGCACTTTCAAGTTAGCGTGTATTCGCCCTTATGTATGCTCACTGTCAAAATGTATTTTCTATTGACACACTCTCTTTTCACCTTTGTTTTTATTCTTGACGGTTATCACTCTGTGCGGTTTCCGCTCTGCGAATAAGTGTCGTCAGTTTCAGCGTAAGGTTTATACGCCGTCACTCAATACATACTTTTCCATATGAGACTGATATGGGTATATAGGCTGTGTACCTTAATAAGTCAAGCAATTGCAAGGCGCAATCGTTTCTTTCTAAAAAATATTCAGATTATTTTGTGTTTACTAAGCATGACCCCTGCAGGTTGTCCATAGTGATAGCACAGCCCATGGCTGAAAATCATTTTAATAAAGTTTACAAAAAATGCAGGTTGCTCCGGTAAACAATGAACTCGATCCATGCTGATGCAGCGTAAGCTACTCTATAAATTTTGATACTTTGGCCTCCGCGTTGCGGCATTTAGTTATATTTTGAGACTAACCAGTTACTATTTCTCGCTTACTTTTTCGAAGGGACGTATCAGCATTTGTAAACAATGCATTTGATCGTCGATTTGGCGTAACTGAGAGCTTGCTCACGCATGCTAACATTACTATCAGATAGGGAAAATTTTCACCTAATAGTGGTGTTAGTAAGTGTAGGTGTCGCGGCCAAAATCTACTTTCTTCTCCCGTTAGAGAGAGTCTTTCGCTTTCTGATTCAGACACCGTTTTTTTTTTTTTTTATTCTAGCAGCTACTTTTTTTCTCCGGTTAAGGAGAGAAGTTTTCGCTTCTAGGCCGAAAGTTCTTTCGGATTCACAAATGAAGAATCTGGAGTTTTTTTTTTTACTTTGAATGATCTATATTTCTTGTATTTGTTTGGTTTACATGTATGAATTTTCAAGTGACACAGATGCGTCTTTTCAACTTTAGTTATTTTGAAATTTTAATTATTATTTACTGTTCCTAGTCCTATCAGGCCTGTTAGAGTATGACCACCTTGGTGGGATTGGTTTGCTTTGAATTGGAAAAAGGAGACTACTTAAAACTAATATTTACTGCTACAACTAATCTACAACTACTATATACACCTAACCTACTATATACAAATTGCTTATCAAAGCATATTCTAAAGTATTGCATTTCTGCACAAATTTGTTCCTAGTTTCGTTAATTTGAAAATCTACTTTCGGAATGTTAGCCTCTTGATGGAGGTCAGAAATGCGGGTATCGAAAGGACGATCAAGGATCATTCTCAGTACCCTGTTCTGCGCTACCTGTATTTTGTTCCTGTGAGTTTGTGCACATGATTTCCACACCGGAGCTGCGTAGAAGATCGCAGGCGCAATGATTTGTTTGTAGACAGCCAGTTTGTTCACCCTAGAGAGACGAGATCTGCGGCAAATTAGCGGATACAAGCACCTAACTAGATTGGAACACCTAACTACTGCCCTATCTATGTGCGAGCAGAAAAGGAGCTTCTCGTCAAATAACATACCAAGATATGTTACTTCCGTGGACCACTCAACCCTTGTGCCATCCATTATTACAGTACAAGAGGGAGCCGGTTTTAGTTTGGGAGATTGTCGATGGAGGATTGGGTTTTGGAAGGATTGATTTTGATTTTCCACGTGTTGGCATAATCAGCAAGGCATCGTTGAAGTTTGTTTGTTATTTCACGAGGCCTCCTTCTCTTGACGGTTATAGCGGTATCATCTGCGAACAGGAAGAACACGCAACTGTTGCTCAAGGGAGGAATGTCGGAAGTGTAGATGCTGTATAGCAAAGGGCCCAACAGACTACCTTGCGGAACACCTGCTGGGATGGGAAAGGTGTTTGAATTGCAACCATTCAACGATACCTTAAACGACCTTTGCTGGAGGTAGTTACGGGTGATTTTTACAAGATGTGGTGGAAAGTTGAAGTTACAAAGCTTGTACACAAGTCCGACATACCAAACATTGTCAAACGCCTTTTCAACGTCTAGCAATGCCATAGCTGATGACTTGGATACAGCTTTGTTACTTCGAATGTTATTCATCACCCGAACTAGCTGGTGATTTGTGGAATGACCCTTCTTAAACCCAAACTGTTCAGGTAGGAGAATGTTGTTCTCCTCGACAAACTTGAGCAAACGATTGAGAATTAGTTTCTCGAACAATTTGCTCAGCGCTGAAAGGAGGCTGATTGGTCTATAGCTGGAATGTAGTGATGGATCCTTACCGGGTTTGCGGATTGGTATGATTTTTGCTATCCTCCAGATACTTGGAAAGTAGTGCAGTTCCAAGCATCTGTTGAAGATAGCAGTCAAAAGCGAGTACACTTTCGTGCTCAGCTTCTTCAATACCAAGTTGAATATACCGTCAAACACGGGAGCCTTCATGTTCTTGGTGTTTTTCAGCGTGTAGCAAATCTGCTCCACTGTAATATTTTCTGTCGGAGGGACGAAACAAGCGGAGGCATCCAAGTTTTGTACGCATTGCGTCACCTGATTTTCGAGCGGACTTTGGATAGTTGAGCCAAGCAAATGCGATGTAGCAATATGATTGCCAATCGCGTTTGCTTTCTTTTGTGGGGTAATGAGCCGATTGTCATCATTTCCGACTCTGAGAGGAGGAACGGGTTTGGGATGAGTTTTCAGCACCTTGGCTACCTTCCAGAATGGACGGGAGCGGTCATCCAGATTCTGGACAACACGTCCGAATCTTTCATTTCGGAGTGAGTCCATTCTGGAAGCAATCTGCCTGTTCAGATCGGACATTTCATGTTTTTTGCTCAGATCTCCAGTCCTCTGAAACTGGCGTCTACGCACATTTCTCAAGCGAATCAGTAACTGGGTGTGGGAATCAATAGCAACAAACTTACCCCTCACAGGAACTTGTCGAACGCATGTCTCGTCAGCCACGGATATGGCCTGGTGGAGTCCTTCCAGAGCCCGGACGATGTCCTCTACGGTGTCAAGCGGCAGATTTTCGTTGATGTTCCGGTCAACCACACGTCCAAACTGGACCCAGTTTACGTGGTGGTAGTCTTTTCGTAGGATTGGAGCAGGAGCTATACCGACCTTAAGTCGTTGATTGCCACCGGTTTGGATAGCCCGAAGTTCGTCAGGAATAAGTCCAGTGTGGAAGGGTTTCCCGCCGGAGAGATGAATGTCAGTTCATCCGGAAATTGCACTGTATACAGCCCATGCTGCGAGTGGTCGAAGAGCAGACGTCCATTCTGATTCCGCTGATAGTTCCGCCATGCTTCGTGGCGGGCATTTAGATCACCCCCAATGACGAATCGTGAGCTCGTGCGAGTGATAGCGGTGAGGTCGTTCTTGAATTTCATCCTTAGTCCGTTGCTGGCAGCACACTGACGAGGGCAGTATACGGCGATGAACCGGACGTTTCCGGTTGATGATTCCACCTCCACACTAAGGGCCTCGATGATAGAAGTGCGGATATGCGGCAGCGTGTAGAACTTTATTCCTTTCTTGATGATGATCGCAACACCACCCCCCCCCCCTGGAGTCGATACGATCAAGCCGGATAATGTGGTGATCAGGTAGCCAAAAACTGTCACCGGATTTAAGGTGGGTCTCTGTTAGGAGGCCCACGTCGATACTTTGCTTGCGGAGAAAGTCAGCAAGCTCGAGTCTTTTTGCTCTTACAGAGCATGCGTTCCATGTGACGACAGTTATCGGTTTAGACACCATACTGAATAATAAACTTACCGAGCACTTGGATCTGTTCGGGCTTGCTGCGGCACTGACGAAGAGCACCGGTCATGTCGAAAAAAATCTTCATCAGCTCATCCGCAGAGAAGAGATCGGGATTGACGTTTTGTGCTGATGGTTGTCTCCAGAATCCAGGGGGGGGATGGGGAGCTTTGTCCAGCAGAAGCACCAGACGTTTCTTGACGGGGGCCGGATTGCACCCGTGGATTTGCTTGACCGTGTTGCGTAGCACGAAGAGGCCGGAAGTCCTCCACCCTGAATGCCGGAATGTTTTCCTTCTTCCTTCCTGGTTGACTTCTTGTGGACGCCTGCTTTCGGATCCGCTTGAAATCCTCGCGTTTGGGGCACTGTTTGTCGGACCCTTGATGAGCTCCACCACAGTTGGCGCATTTGTACGTTTCCGACTCGTCGACAACGCACTCGGAGGAGACATGATTTTGGGCGCATTTGCCACAGCGCGGTTTGATGTAGCAGTTTCGGGTGCCGTGCCCAAAATTCAGGCAACGCTGACACTGGGTGACGTCGTGACGGCCGCCACGGTATGGCTCCCATTGAATAATGATGGAGTTGATGGAGCGGATGGCCTTCAACGCATTGAGCGTCACCGTTCCCTTCTGGAAATGCACCAGGAAAAGGAAATCCGGATATTTCTTGACGTACTCGTCCCTCCTTGTCATCCGGAAGACGGCAGTTGGGGCCAGCTTGTAGCGGTTCTTGATTTCCGCTTCGATCAACTTCGGGTCAAAGTTCGGTAGACCCCTGATGACGACCTTGAATGGTTTCTCACCGGGAATGTCATGGGTGAAGAATTCCACCTTGGAAGTCCTCAGATGGGCGATGACCAAGTCATACTCCGCTTTCGTACGGTGCACCACCTTGGTGCCGACTCTGCCCAACTTGAATTCGGCTTTGACGCCCAGCGACGCCAGATCCGCGATGAGCTCGTTAAGATGGGCATTTTTCACTAAAAGCGGAGGTAGCTTCACTCTTGCTGCGCTCCTTTCAGCAGCATTTTCTATTTCAGCAGCGTCGCCGAAATCTTCGTTTGTCGCAGAGGCATCCTCGCGACCAATTGTGCCATCGGACTGGCCCCGATTCTTCTTCCTCTTCTTGCTGCGTTTTTCCGTCACAGCTGGTTGGATATTCCCATCCATGGGGAGAACAGCAAACCTGTTGGACGTAGGTACACCCGAACTTCCTTCACCGGGGTTCTTGTCCTTCACCGGGCTTCGCGAGCGATGCTTCCCCATATCGGGGCACGCACACACAAAAAACCGCGAAAGAGAGAAAGCGCGAACACTATCACCACTAATTTTTCGAACATCTCGTCAGAGCGAGCAAAAGCCGAACTATACTGCTTGACGATCAAGCAGAGAATCAAAGAATCTGGAGTAACCTACGTTTAGTTTTATTTTCCATTCTGTACAAAGTGATCTTAAATCTATGTGTTACATTAGCGATCTATATTTAGGGGAAATGACGGCTTCGGCATGACAGACTATTTTCGGCAACCCAAATTGAAACACTATTTTCACTTCGCTGAATGCATGCAAACGATTCTTTATGCTTTCAGCTTCAATTTGACTATATTTTTACCACTGAGAAAAAGCAATCTAGCAAGGTTTTCTTGAAATGCAACACACGCACTACAAATTGTAGCTGATTTCGAGTTGCCGATAATAGAACAGCAGATTTACATGCAGTTCAAATGGAACGGTTGCCGAAGAAAAACTGGTTGCCGACAATACTCGCTCTCACTAGAGAAGATTGGAGCTTTGTAAAAGCGTTTCAAAACAGTTTTTGACAATTCTTTCGACTGAAATTGTTAGAGCAGTTGGCAGCAAAAGAATGTAAACAAACCAATACTGCATATGTGTGCGTTCCTTAGAGAAAAAGACTATAGAAAGAAGGTCGCTGTTTAGGTTGCCGAGAATACGTAAATTCCCCTATGTAAAATCATTTCCTGTCACTATGGAATTTTTCATGACCCTCTCAATACCGAACTTAAAGCTAATTTCTGCTAGTTATAATCGAATTTCTACCCGGGATTAAAAAGTGCTAATCTATGTTTTCGAGTCCTTATATACAATGTCCTTTTCGGAACCGGGATTTCTCAATATGCTCACGAATTTATTGCTTTTTGTAACTCAGATCCGGTATGGCTCTACAAATAAGAACTCGAACATTTGTAATGTTTAAACATTAGATTATTATCCTTCGTGAAGGATGAAAAAAGAGGGAAAACTAATCTTAATCTACATGCGCAGATATGTCGCGTGTGGGCGTGTTTATCCTACTCGAGCGCATATGCATCCTAAGTAAATAGTGCAGTCAGATTATGTAATCGAGCTGTCGTTGTTTTGCCCTACTTTTCATTTCTTTTCCTTGGCCTTGGTATCGACATCAGTTAAGACTTATGCAACTATGCGGGATGGCTTATAGACTTGATCCTACCAGCGAGCTACCAGTTACGTTAAACCGACTTGCATTGTTTACTAAAACCCTACGTCCCCTAGAAAAAGTAATCGAGATTTGCTTTACTTACCCCCGTAGAAGTCGGTTTGAAATACCACCCGCGAGGTAACGGAACGTTCCGTTTCGATGTTCGAATTTTCTTTCTCTTGACTTCAACTGAATCCAGTTCCCGGTTCGATTGGCAGAGATCTCTCCGGTAGGTCGTATTGCTTCGATCTATAATATCTTTCTTTAAACAATCAACGCCCAAAGCTTTGCCGTCAAAATGCTCCCGGTAAATACAGCCATATCTTCCCCCGTTCATATATTTGATTCGTAATGCAAAATCTTCGTACCGCTCTGCGTCTGCCTGGCTAAAGACAGGAACTTCCGAAGGGGATTCAAGGTAAAGATTACTGAAAGCGTAACCATCGAGCAGATGTGGATCACTAGACTCCATGGATGATTTTATTGGTCGGGATCGGTACAGATGCGGTTGCCAAATACCCGGATGTTCGGGAGGCTTTGAGTACAGAGGTTTTTCAAATTCGGTTAACCGGTTCATTTTGTTCGTTTTCTTTCGTTACAGAAATTTAGCAAACGATCTGGTCGCCGTGGTAGCAATGGACATGGGTCTGAAGAATGCCCTCTTTGACGAATGCCTTCTGCGGGACGGCTGGTTGGTAGGGCTCGGTGGAATCTTCGTGGTTATTTCGATGTGGCTCTACACAAGGTCCCTTTTTGTCACACTGATGACGGTGGTTGCTGTGATTTTCTCGCTCGGGATCGCCTACTTTATCTACACGCTCATCTTCGAGCTGTCCTTCTTTCCGTTCATGAACCTGCTGGCTGTGATTGTGGTCGTTGGTAAGTCGGTTGTGACCATTTAAGTGTAATCATTCTAAAAAATGCTTTCATAATCCCTAGGAATCGGAGCCGACGACGCGTTTATTTTCCTGAAAATTTGGCAATGTGTCATATCGGATCGAATGAAGACCACCGGTGCCGTAGTTGCATTAGGTCCATCCACGTCTTCGTTTGCTTCGGAAGCTAACGCGGCTCATCGGTCGGACACTTTGGTCGGCATTATGGCCAGTACTCTGAAACATGCCGCTCTGTCAATGTTGGTCACGTCGCTTACCACTGCGGCGGCATTCTACGCCTCGTATGTGAGCTCGATAACGGCCGTTAGATGTTTCGGGTAAGCTCGCTATGCGCACGATGCAATCAATAATGGTAGAGGTCACTTACATTGATCATTGTTCCGCATTTCCAGCATATTCTCTGGCACCGCTGTGATGGCAAACTACTTTCTTATGGTGACGTGGCTCCCGGCCGCGGTGTCGATAGCGGAACGAATATCGTGCATCTCGCTGGTGAAACCAGTGGAGAGCATCGTTGAAAAGCTTACGTATCCCTTGAAGGCAATTAGTCAATTAGGTAGAAAAGTAGAAGATATCATAATATCATTAGTGATTAGTGTTCCATTGTTGTGGATTGCGTTGTTAGGTAAGTGGGAGTGGATTTTGTCTTGTACAGGTGAGCATTAATTTTATTGTTTTCAATTCAGGTATAACTGGTGTGCTTAGTGGTGTAATGGTGTTACATTGGCCAAAATTGCGGCTTCCGGATTCGCCCGATTTCAAGCTATTTATCAGTAGTCATCCGTTCGAGCGGTACGATAGCGAGTACAAAGATCTTTTCTGGTTCGAGAAAATCTACAGTGTAAGTACCTATTTTATTTGATTTTTTTATGTTCGTTAATTAATATATGAATGTGCTAAGGCTGTGAGCCATTTGCCGAGTTAAATTTTTACTCGTGGTTAAAAGTGACATTTCGAAAGTTATTTTCTATGTTAGAAAATCCCTGTGATGTCGATCGACCGGTTTTCGAGAAGAACTTAGCCAAGGTTGTCAAAATTTAACTTCTTGTCTATCAGAAGTAACCACGCTCGGATAGCAGGGTTAATCGATAACTTTCCATCTGTCAAATTTAAACCAAAAGTTAAAAAATTCGCCAAATGGTTCAGAGCCTAAGTTGTATATGGGTTCTTCATGCTCAAGTGGTGCCAACATGCTTATTTTGATATTCTAAGAAAACTTTCTGGATTTTGCTCTATAGTACTTGGTCCCCTCTGGACTACAACCCGATTCTCTGCTTGACCGTCAAGCAGTACAGTTCGGTTTTTACTCGCTCTCTCGAGCTGTTCGCTAGTTCGTTGCGATAGTGTTCGAGCTCTCTCTTTCGCGGTGTTTGGTAAAGCATCGCACGACCCCAGCATGGGGAAACCGCCGCGTGTTGACGCGACTGCTATTCCGCCCGCGAAACAATCCGAATCGGACACTGCCAGTGTTCAATTGGCATCGATGAAGAAGAAAGTTCCATCATTCTTCGTAAAAGGATTCCCGGAAGTTTGCTTGAGAAAATCGATATTTACATCGGTAAAGGTCTCAAATGCACCATGCGCCTGTGCACTGAAGGTCACAAGCTGATGGTGCCAGCCTCTCAAGGTAGCCCTGCGTGGCCTCCCCGATATGGAACACGACACACTGTCTAAGGAGTTGAAGGAGAACGGCCTTAAACCGCTCCAGATTTACAAGATGAATCGACATGACGCCACTCGCAAGTACCGTGAAAAGTTGTATCTGGTCCACCTGGGGAAACATTCAACGTGTATCAAGGATCTGCAGAATATTCGGGCGCTGTTCCACATCGTGGTGATATGGGAAAGGTACAAAGCCGTCCACCTTGATGTAACGTAACGTGCGAGCTAATGGAGGACGCAGATCCCAAATATGCCAATTATGGTGCAGCACATCGGGCAACAAGACATGCCCGAAGCGAGCGGAATTAATTAATATTCGGAAAAAAGCCTCTCCGCAGAAGGGTGCCGGAAAACAACAGGCTGAACTTTCCTTTGATCCCTCAACGGTACCATGTTCTGGTACTTCCGCCGCTCCCTCTGAACAACCGATTGGGTGCTGCTGCTATATCGGTTTCGTTCACTGCTGGGGTGCCTAAACCATCCGACAAGCTCGAGTCGTCAGACATACGCGGCAACCGGTGCATCCTGAAGTACCTACCCCCGAGGCATTTCAAACGTCGTGATGATGCACCACCTCTACAAACGAACGAAATCACAGATCAGAGGAAACATGTCAGCAGGGTATAACTCGAAACGTAAACAATGACTTTGAACGTCGATTATTAAAAACCATCGAAGCCGCAGGGGTGGAAGTTTCTACTCCTGTTGGCCCCATCATCATCGTCGCGGCTTACTGTTCCAAACAAGTCAACATCAGGGACGGGTCAGCAACAGACCTGAGAAGAGACATTATCAAGCTAACTCGACGAAGGGAAAATTTCATCATCGCTGGCGACCTGAACGCTAAAAATCAAGCTTGGGGCAACAGTTGGCGCAATCAAAACGGCACCATCCTGAACAACGACCTGTAGGAAGCGCAGTACAACATCTTGAGTCCGGATACTCCCACCCGGTTGAGTAGGTCCGGTGCTCACGCTGCATCTATATCTACATCAGCAACACAGGCAACAAAATCTCGCAAGCCGTCGTCTATTTGGAACTCAGCTCGGACTACTATCCGGTGGTGGCCGTAGTGGGTTTTTCAGTCAACATGTTCCAAGCATCGCGGCGAAATTACCATCGGTTAGATTGAGTTGCCATCAGTATCGACTATGACGTCCAGCCGGAAATGACCGACGACATCGACCGGTGTCTATGCTGCATCGATGATGCGATTTCCCGAGCCAGGGAGCGTACTGGGCTGCCTAACCTGAAGACCGGTTGCAACCAGTTATACAAAATCATCCAAGGATGGTGGCTCTCAGAAATAACGATTTTGCAAACAAGATTAACTCTCTCCCAGATTGTGCTAAGTCGTTCTGGAAAACGGTAAATATTTTAAAAAAATAAGCCGAGGCCCATCCCTTAATCAGAATATGGAATATTCCTTACTCATAACCCAAGGCCAATGCTTTTGGTCAACACTTTGTGAATTCACATAACCTTGGACAAGCTATGGTGAGTCCCCACGAGCCTGCAAAGTTGGATTCAATGTCTAGAGTCGCTGTTATCCCCGTAGTTGTCCCTGATGAAAGTAGAATATCGGCTGATGTGGTGGGCCTCCCTTAACTCAGTCGCTAAAGGCGTAGCTATAAAGCAAGACCATGCTGGATGTGGCTGGGTTCGATTCCCAGTTCGGTCTAGGAATTTTTCGGGTTGGAAAATTTCTCGACTTCTTTGGGCATAGAGTATGATTGTACTTGCCACATAATTATACTAATGCAAAAATGGTATAGGCATCGGAAGCTCTCAATTAATAACTGTGGAAGTACATCTAGAACACTAAGTTGAGGGCACGCAATAAGCTAATAAGCAATAAATTGAGAACAATAAGCTATAAGCTTGAAATTCGAAGAAGAAGAAGAAGAAGAAAGAGAGGTGATAGCAGCAAAAGAACATGAATGCCGTTGGTATCGATGGAGTGGTCAACTTCGAGCTGAAAAACAAAATGTACAAATAAGTATGTTGGCAAAGTTTGAGCTGGAATGACGCTTATATGAAAGGTTCGTCGTCAACAACGCGTTTAAATCTTCTATTCCTAAACTATCCATTATGGATGAAAGTAGATAGTTGCCATTTAGATTTGATTATTCTTGCATGCGAATTGATTTGAAATGCTTAAAAGATCCTGAAAAATAATTATTATTATCACGATTTGGCACTTCTCAGCAAAATTGCTGGACAATTTCAACTACCCTGGGTTGTCTTTATGCCAAGGGGGTTAGGCTCTGTGGATCTCATTATCCGGTTAGCTTACATCCTAATTTGTTTTCTTCGGTTGGATTAGTTACGAGGACTTAGGAACCGCTTAACAATACTACAGGTTCAAAGAATCACTGGTTTCTGAATGCTGTTCAGATTCAGGGATCGATTCCGGTCGCTGAAACTACACATCGTTCAAGTGCATCAACAACTGCTTGAACTCCTTTAGAAATTCGATTGTGATAATCGTGATGTCGGGAGAGTCTAAACAGATGTAACCAGAATGCCAAAAATTGTAAATACAGTTTTCGGTCAATCGTCCATTCGGCCAAATGTCTTTATGCTAAACGTCGGTATGCCACACGTCCTGCCCTCAGCCCAGTGGCAGGCGTGTAGGCAACATGTTATACCATGACAGCGGGCCCAGCATAGCAAAATAAACGATTTGAGCCCGGGACATGCTGCCTACTATCAAAAGCTGCTGTTGGTATAGGCCTTGTCACTGGCCTGCCTGCCCTTCTAGGATATCGGTAACGCATCCTCTTCCTTCAGTACGTGGCAAGGTGTCTCTATCGACGGTCGACTTTGGATGCTTATGTCGTTTTCGTTTTTGCGGTGTAGCTACACGAGCTACACCGCCGAATACCGAAAAAAATCAAGATGTAGCTATCGGTTGCACCTTTGTTTACAAACAAATGATGATGAGCTGTCAATGACTCACGCTTATTGCTGCTTACACCACATCCGGTGTAATGTAGCAAAAACGAAAACGACATTAGTGAACGCCACTCGTACCCAATGACGTTTATATAAGGCCTGGGGCAAAGGGCTTATTGGTGTTAGTGAAATGTGCAAATGTTTAGTGGTGTTCGTATTTTATTGCAATGTTTATCTTTTTACACGAAACAGCTGTTCGCAGTGACGTATTTCTATCTGTTTTCAGTATGTTGGCAGTGACGTATTTCTATCTGTTCGGAGATGTTCAGCAATGTTTACAACATTTTTGCTTCTAACACCAACAAGCTGCCTGTTGGCCCAGACCTTATATAAATGTCATTGACTCGTACCTACTGCTCGTTCTAATGGCTCCAAATCAGTATTGGTGCATTCTATCTCTCCAAAGCTGTAGGTCAACAGGGGCATGGCAAACGTGTTTATCACCTTCATCTTGTTGCCAGCCGAAAAGTACTGCATCTCTTTCTTGATCGTTTTATGACGAACCCCTTTAGTTGCAGGAACCTAAGATACTTTCGGGTTTCTCCTTCAACCATAGTCACGTTGCACGTTGATGTGGAAACTGCCGGTGTCCACTGCTTGGCCTTGACAGAGAATGACTGGTCGACACTTATCGATCCCAAGCTCCATCCGGATGTCATACTGAACACTGTTAAAAGCTGCAAGAAGTGGTGCAGCTTCTCCAATGTTTCCGCAAACAGCTTCAAGTCGTCCATATAGAAGGGGTAGGTAACTTTTGTGCTTTTTCCTCAACTTTTCAAATGGTAGCCATAGTTGCATTGGTTGAGTGCTTACATTGGAAAATCTCCCTGTGTATGCTGAGAATTCTGGACCATAACATAATTGCTCCGTCAGTAACGCGATGAGATGTACTCCACATTCCCATTGCGTGCTGCATTAGCCTGATGATCCCATCACCCCCCTTGTACAACTGCAGTAGCTTGAGAAAGTACAAGTGCGGTATTGAGTCGTACGCTTTCTTGTAGTCGATGCACGCCATTCTCAGGTTACTCCTTTACTGGCTCGCCTGACCAAACATAACTGTATCAATGATGACCTGATCATTGCAGCTCTACGTGTTTTTTCGGCAGCCCTTCTGTTCTTCGGTCATAACATTGTTTACATCGCATCTTGGGGGTTTACCGACGATAGCATTTAATACAGTCTCGACAGACATTGGCCTGTACCTACATGGCTTGATTA